GGGGGTGGGAGTGGGGTGGTGGGGTGGTGGTGGTGGTGGGGTGGTGTCTGACTGCTAGTCTGATGGAGGAGAGCTAATAAATGACTGGTAAAGGCTTTCTTTCCCTTCCTTCCTTCCTTCCTTCCTTCCTTCCTTCCTTCCTTCCTTCCTTTCTTTCTTTCTTTCTTTCTTTCTTTCTTTCTTTCTTTCTTTCTTTCTTTCTTCCTTTCTTTCGTGTCCCATGAAGAGTCTGGTCTGGACAGGAACTCACTATGGAGTCCAGGCTAATCTCAAACTTAGGTTCCCAAGTGTAGCTATCAGCTAAGGTCACACATTATGTTCTAGTCTTAGGAAACCAACCTACTTCTAAGAGAAAGTGGTTCAACCAAGTTTTTACTTTTTTCTATGCCAAATGACACTGAAAAAACCCCTCATCATCTGGTGGTTCAACATCAGAGGTAGAGGAGATGGCTTAACTGTGATATTCTAATTTTCTCTGCATGTATACACAGAGGTAGTCAGACATATTTTTATAAGGTCTTCCAAAGTTTTGCAAGTAGATAAGAACATGGATTCTACAACTAGAATTTATGTTTAGCTTCACAGATCAACCTGAGATAAAGAATCAGAGTGACTCGCAAAGAAGCTATGATAAATTGTTCTACTACTTTGGTTGCTTGGGAGGAAAATGGCCTGCCCAAAGAGCAACCCGAGCAGCAGTACTTCCTTCCTTATCTGTGCGTTCACACAGACAGGCTAGGGAATAATGGGTCAATCTAGTTTAAGGGCAAATGAAAATGAGAGAAGAATGGAGCATAAAAGAGAGGAAAGGTACTGGATTTTTAATTGGTTTATAACCATGAAGCCAGTTACAACCCAAACATGGACTTATGGAGATTTCCATAATAAGATTTCACACGATAGGTAGCTCATAAATCTTTATTATGGAGGCTGCAATGATGTTAATTTAGGCAGGAATATTATATTATTCTATGTACTACATAGTAGCCATTTTTCAAATATTAATAACTTGACTCCCTTAGATTAAAAAAAAATACCTCAAAATGGTCTGACTTCAGATGATAAATTTCTAGTTCAAAAGTTATTTTGGAGAACAAACTACTCTTTCCAGAATAAATGGCCAAAGTTCTAACTGTCAGTGGTTTGTTTGTTTTTAAATTCTTCTACCCAGTATTTTCTCTACTCAGGGTCAAAGTAAAACGTTCAGTTTCTCGTTTTCATTTATTTCTTTTGAGCAGAATTCATATTCTTCCCTTCTAAAGGGCGGATGGTGAATAGGGGCATCTCAAGAAAGAGTCCTCAGAAGAACTATTCCCACAGGGGTCCTAGTCCTGTACCCCCAGTTCTGAAATGAAAACACAGCGGACGCAGAATGAAGATGCTACCCTATCTTCAGGAAGTTTCCACTCCCCACAAGAGAAAACTATGGGAAAGCATACTTAAAATGCTGCCAATTTTGGCTGATTCTTTGGTTGTCTGCATTTTAAGTGCCTGCCCTCCAGAGACACTAGAGGGAGCTGCAATATCAACATCCAGGCGCCTCTGCACACCACAGCAGAACAAAATCCAGTTGCTGAAGGGTGGCGCGTGTAGAAAAATATAGCATGGTCTGTCTGTCTGTCTGCTGCTGACTCATCAGGGGTAGTGATGTTGAGTTCATGTAACCTGATGAGACCAGCACACCCAGGCCAGGAGCCCATCCTGAGCACAGGGGCTTCACGCTCACCAGCTCACAGGGCACACCTGCTTGAGGTCCTCTCCAGAGGGGTCAGGGAACACCAAAAAGGACAGCTAGCTGGTTTGTACATGACCCCTGACCCCATCTTGAATAATGTGCTGGTGTAGCAGTTGGGGCTTGAAAGGAAAATGGGTACATGTTTGATAAAATACACAGGGGCGGAGAAATATCTGGTTGTTACCAACTAAGTGGGCCAACAAGTCTGATGATTTTACAGCATTTGTCACTGCAGCATCCTGAAGCAATCTGACAAAATTTCCAAATACAGGGATGGGGACACTTTAACCACTGACAAGTTATCTGCTGGAAAATGGAAAAACCAAACACAAAACCAGAATCAGGGTCAAATTATCCTCTCTCAAGACTTTCTTAGATCGGGGTCAAACACACAACACATACACAGCCCGGTCTCAGCAGGAAATCAAAGCTGGACAATGGTTCCTCGCACACAATCTGAAAAGATTGCAAACATTCATTTCAGTTCAGGGGCTCATTTTATGTGTTGCTCATGGCAACTGCTCTGCATACCTTTGAGGCAAATTTGTCATTATAAAGCATTTATGTTTGTAATAAGAATGTCAACCCAGACAGCTAACTTTTATAAAGTAGACTGTGGGGGGCTGTGACTGCACAGCCACATTATAAGCAGCCAGGAAGGAAAAGACACTCCCAACATGTGTCTCTCACTACAGACCCTTCCAGAATGTCCTCACTGTCTGGGACCTGAAAAGAAGACCTACGTCTCACTGCCCTTTTGCTGACAGATTTTACTCAGTTTAAGGAAATAGAGCAGAGACCGGGGGTAGGGGATGGCATGTGTATGATGGAGTTGGTCACTTGCTATTATCTCTTGACGCTGTGTCCCAAAGGTCGCTTGAACTGCTAAGTGTTCAGCACCACCTTGCAAATGCCACTGCTCCTGCATCTGCACTGTACCCCACAGTTATCTCCCAGAATCTTACACTGCCATCATTGGCCGATTATTTGTGTTGTCTTATCCTGGGAATTCCTAATATCTGGCACAGCCAACCCTGAACCCTTCCCACCCTCACTCTCTAGTCTTTGTTCCTGGCCAATGACTCCTCCACTACCAGGCTCAGCTCCCCATTTTCCACCATCAGGTTCACTCTGGATTTCTCTTCTACCTTTACTCCCTATGTCCAACTGATTTACAACTCCTATTGATTTTATCCCTAAACATTCTTTAAATTATTCTTTCTTCATCTCTGCTATAACTATTACCACCTTCCTAGACTACCACAAAGGTTTTTCCAATGGGGCTCCTTACTTCTCCTATGGATTCCTTTTAAAATAGCTTTTGCAAGGAGCAGAGCCATCTTTTTTTTTTTTTTAAATCTGTTACCACCGCCTATTTAGATACCTTAGCAGTCTCTTTACAGTTGTGTTTCCCACCTCTTTTCCAATTTGTTTTTACCACCTTGCTCTGTCTGTAGCCAGTCTTCCATTCTTGTATAACCCTTTCTGTCCAAGGCCCATTTTCATGCCTTAGGTGTCAGAGCCCTCCTCAGGTGTTACTTCTGATAAAGAGAAAGTGCTAAACACTCTAAACCTCTCCTGCATCTGGACATCTCTCTTACCATAGTTAGCTCATTTTTTGATCTGCCTTAAGAACAGACACTTGTACCTCAGGGTCCAAAAGGGAACAAGGCACATGGTACATGTTCATTTTACCTATACAAAACACCAAGAAAAAGCTACATTGAATTCAACATGGTTGAGCAGCTAGAGTACATGAACAGCTTTTAGGAAACAGACCAAAGTTGGCAAAGTAATGGAGAAGGGGCAATAGCAGACAAATCTAAGTAATCAACACTCACGAATGACCAGACTACACAATCAAGTAAAACTGGATCAATGAGAGCTGTCTGCTGAGTTGAGTCTGCCCCAGAGGCTCACTGACTTTGTACTGAACAAAACTACACAAAAAAACCGACAAGGCTCTTCATCATTCTACCCACTTTTCTATTCTTTCTCCCAAAGAAAGTAATAATTACAAAATGCAGGACTCTTCCCAAAATAGCCTACATTAGCTTTTATTTTTCCATTATGGGCCCAGTGTGCCTTCAGCCTACTTCCACTTCATCAGCAGGGAATCTCATTTCCTTTTCATACTATGCCTTTTTACAGTGCCTCAGTGAGCCTTCAGTGAGATGGATATTGTAGGGAATAAATTGTAGAGGGACAAAAATGAGAAACACTGAAGATCATACACATTATTCCATCTGTGCTGTTCTGTTGCAGAACACAGATGGGCAACTGCAAATGAGAGTATGCAGAATGAAAACCTCAAGTTCTATTTGATACTGTAAGTATAGAGGTCAATTACTGTTGGACATTAATTCCTTGACCTGCTGAGCAGTGTCCTTTACTTCTAGCTAGAGGTAAGACCTCCCCAGACCCCTATAGGCAATGCTGTACAACAACATTCAAAATAGATGAAATGTTTAATATATGAAATCCTGTCTGGGTCCAAAGTACTAGGACTCCACACTGTTGAACCTGCTATGAGACTTGTCAGGTTGGCCAGGTATTTCAGTGCTTAAATTACTACAAAAACGTTCACATGGCTAAGAAACTCATTTGGAACCTAGAAGAGATATTTGAGAAGGTAACGGGTGTAAGGCTTTACCATTTGATTTGTGACTTAGAGTTTAGGACCCAGATTAGGAACTCAACTAATGTGAACCCCAACTTGTAATTCCCGCTATGTTCTCTCACCTCATTAATATTAAAGCTCTGACTTTTTTCAGATTAGGCAATTTATTTTTACTTCAAGTTTATATGGGTCCAAACTTCTTTTTTTCCCAGCTGAGCATCTGACACGTCTACATGCATGGAGCCATGAAATGAGTGGACACTGACCTAGAATGGCTGGCTGGCTGTGTGTGTAGCTGGCCACCAATCCCCACTTCTGGTAATGTTTCAATGTTGGACATATTTGTGTTGAATTACGAAAGTGGGAATGGTTTCCCATCTAGATTTCTCCTTACTACTAAGCTAGTAATTAACTGTCTGTGTAGATAGTATGAGCTCATTGTAAATTCCTACTGATAACAGCTATTCCCCTTAATGCTTTTTCATTTAGTGTCTTGCTTTCTCAGCATCTACCCAAATAAGACAAATTGGGATTTGAGTAAAAAGTGCAATAAAAAGTGCCGGTCTCCACAATTCACCTCAACTTTATTGCAAGCTTTTAACAAGGCTGTGGTGTAGGTGGGAAAGCAAATATGCTGGCTGGGGAAACAGGAAAGTCCCCATGTCTACTGAACTTTGTATTGTCTGGCCTTGAGAACAAGGACTTGCACTATCAAAAGAGAAGACACCCATCGTCTCAACTTTGGACTGCTGGAGGAAAACACTCAGAAAGTTAGTTGCATTTTTATATATGTGAAACATTGAGCATCTTCTTTAAGGTAACTTCATCCAAATTTAGCATAGTCTTTCATGGAAGCATTTGTTTGAAGATTATCTCATGAGATAAATGAGAAAAAAAAATGAGACAAGGCAATAATCTACCAGGTATCCACCTCATCTCTTCTAAGCAAAAGGATTCTATGGAGAATTAGCTTCCTGATTCAAGTATAAATAGGGAAAGTCTGCTTAGGAGTCAGGGCATCTGTCATGAAACTGGTGTTTCTACAAATCTGACCATCCTCTCTGGCCTTGGTTTCCTTTAGTAAAGGATGATAAAAGCCCTAAACTGACTTTAGTCTACTAGGATGTTTGGTTAGTGGTTACTATGATTCTTTAAAAGACAAAGACAGCAATGGAGATTTTCACTTGGATAGCATGGGGGTTAGTTCAAGTTTAATTTCATGGTTAGTTTTATTTAGAGACCGGGGAAGTGAGGGGCTGGAGTCCAGCCAGTGTGTACAGCTCACCCAGACAGTCTGGTCTGCTGGGTGGTAGTCTGCCAAGACAAGAGAGTAAGAGAAGACATGACGGGGAAGGAAGGGGAGCTGAAGGTAACTGATGGTGTGGGAATTGACTGTTTTCCTTTACTGAGACACTCAGCTAAAGCTGACTATATTCACCACCTCCCCATTTCTTACCCCACTAGCTTGCTGTGTTGGTATTTGCCCCCACTATTATTCATCGCATTTCCCCACCCCCCACAGTTTAACATTTTACTAATTCTTTGTGGATTTCACATCATGCTTCTCGATCCCACTCATCTCCCAGTCCCTTCCCATCTGCCCTCTTTCCTTGCAACCTCCCCACCCCCCTAAAGATAAAAGAGGACAAAATTTAAAGACAAGAGAAAGGTAAGAAAAGAAAAACCTCATTGTGTAAGCTGCAGTGTGGTGCGTCACATAGCCCTTTGGTCCATATACTGTTACTTGCAAGTGCTCACTGCATTGAGTTGCTGGTCTGGTTAAGGGGTCTGGTTTTTGCTACATCATCAATACTGGGCCTTTACTGAGGCTCCTCTTGGATATCCTGTTGTCTTCTATCATGGAGATCCTGTAACTTTGGGTCTGCAAAACCAGTCCCTTCATGTGCTCCAGCAGATCATAGATGGGGTGGATGTTGGGATGGGCCAACTCATAGCTCTGGTTTTGGGTGGTTGCTGGGTTGGTCAGCCTGCCAACTCTCCTTCTTCCACAATGCCAGGGTGGGCTCTCCAGTACTGCCCTGGCCAGCTCACCCTGTGTAGTAAGCAGCAAGGGGCGGGGCCAATTCTCCTGCTCTCATATCCTCGGGATTGGCTTGCCCACTCCTATACCACCAGGGCTAGCTCTACTGTGCTGCCTAGTTGGGGCACAGGGGACACTCTGCCTAGCGCTGCAACTGGTGAGAGGCAAGGCCAGCTGTCTCCCTCTAGCTACCCAAGGGATGGCGCTCCACCTACCACAGGCCTCAAAGGGCGTGGTGAGAACTTCTCTCTCTTGCCCACACCACCATATGGTAGGTGAGGGGCAGGGCTCAGTCTCTCACGCTTGCATTCTCGGGGTCGCCTCCCCCCACACCTTCATCAATGGGGTCAGCTCTACTGTGTTGTCCCGGGGAGATGCAGGGCCCATTTTCCCTAGTTCTGTATCTGGTGAGGGGCATGATCAGCTCTCTTGACTGCCACAGGTGGCAAGGAGTGGCAGGGGAGGGCATCTTTCCCTCTCCCTCACCACCACATGGCAGACAAGGGGTGTAGGGCCAGCTCTCCCACTCTTACGACCTCAAGGCAGGTTCGCCTGTACCTTCACCAGCAGGGTCAGCACTACTATGGCGGCCAGATGAGGTGCAGGGCCTGCTCTCCTGAGTGCTGTAGACAGTGAGGGGGGAGGGGCAAGTGGGGGCATCTCTCGCCTACCCACACTGTCATTACCAGAGACTGAACTCTTGTCTTCAGAAAGGCTCAAGCTCTCGGCCTGTGGGGCTTTGCCTTTGGTGACTACTGTTCCAATTGCTCCTGCTTTCAGTCACCTCAATGTGTGTATGCCTTTTCTCACATTGCTCTCTTCTACTAACAATAGAATACATCCCATTTACTCTGAACTAAATCAAGATTCTGGGGGATGAGTAAACCGTCTATCTAGGCTTCTCATTTCTTATGAGTCCCAAGCTCCAGTGTCTAACTTGCCTGTCATTTGCATGCTTCATAGACATCTCATCTTTCTGATTTGTGTTTCATTTAATGACACTGCCATTCTTTTGGGGTTGTCCTACTTAGAAATTTATGACTGCTGCCGTCATCTTACATCTAGCACTAACTATCCATGGCTCACACCTCCCCTCAGCTCTGAGCCACAAGTCCCTTCTTTTTCTCTGTCTGACTGCAGCATAGGTGAACTCACAATTACCTGGACTATTGCAAAAACATAATAGCAGCCTCCCTGCTTTCAGTCTTTTGGGTCTCTCCCACTAAGATTTTCTTCCAAAATCATTAATTTTGTATTAACCCCTATGTTTGAACCTTTATAATCTGACTTATTTAAGAGTTATTTGTGCTTTGTCTTCCCCGCTGTATTATAAGCTCTGGGAGGGCAAGGCTTTTGTTTTGTGCATATGTATTGCTATAAATCCACAGACTATCACAATGTTCTACACTGTTTTTTGAAAGGTCATGAAATATTTTATCAAATTCCCATTATTATATATTGTACTAGGTTCCAAGCATATAAGAATTAAAAAGCCATGGTTCTTTCAGTAGATGTCAAAACTAATAGTGGGTAAGAGACACATGAATGTTTCTTTGTTGTGTAATGGAATTACTGCTTATTTGTAAAGCATGATAATATTATGTACATATTAAATCCTGTAGTTTTTTTCTTAAGACAGGGTCTAGTTGTATAGTCTAGGCTGGCCTGAAACTCAAGATCTTCCTGCGTCAGCTTCCCAAGTGCTGGAACTAAAGGTATCTGCTACCATGCCCAGACATTCTGTAACCTTTTTCTCTTACAATGCCTTTATTATGGTTTGACTGTGACATGCCCCCATGGGCTCATGTATTCAAACATGGAGCCCTCAGCTACTGGAGCTGTTTGGGCAGCTGCAGAACTTTCAGGAGATGGGGACACAATGGAGGAAGTGGGTCTCTGTATGGAAGATATTGAGAGTTTATAGTCCAGCCCTGGTTCTGGTTCTAGATGCTAATCTAACAAGATATGAGCAAACAGCCTCACATTCCTGCTACCACCATTGCAAGCCCCTTCTGTTGTTATGCCTTCCCCCATGATGGGCTGGTACGTCCTCAAACTGAGAGCCAAAATAAATGCCTTCCCCTTTAAGTTCCTTCTGGATAGGAAGTTGGTTATAACAGTAGAAAACAGTAATTGATGGAGAAAACAGTGAGGAGGGGAAAAGCTGCTGTGAGGTACCTGACCAGATACCTCTTAGTCCTTTGGAACAGGTCTGGGAGGAATGTGGAACTTTGGAGCTGCAGGCTAGAGAAATCCAGGATTCTGTAAGCAGAAGTCAATGGGTGAGGCTGGTATAGAGTTTAGTGGGTCAGTCTGGCTGGGAGCTCAGGAGAACAGAATGTGACCAGGCTCACGAAGTTTCAGAGGAGAACAAAGGGTTTATGGAGATGCCATTTATGTCACATGCTGGCAAAGAATCTGGTTATATTCTGGATATGTCCCAAAAAAGTGGAGTGAGGATGAATTCAAAAGTAATGAAGTCAATTTTATTGGAAATTTCAAGACAGCATAGAATATGGGTTATGACATGGTATATTTATTGGTCACTGGCTGAAAATGGTTAGAGCTGTGGAAAGGGAAGATAAGGAGGCTGGGAAGAGAGCAGCTCTCACTGCAAAGGAGATGAACACAGAGAAACTCAGCACTCTGCACTGGCACTCTGGTACTGTTTGGGAAACTGAAGCATGTGGGCCTCACTGGAGGAAGTGGGTAACTAGGGGGTGGACCTTGAGGATAACAGCTCAGTCCTGTTTCTAGCTTTAGTCTGTCTCTCTGTTTGCTCATGAGACATGAGCGAGTAGTATCATATTTCTGCTACCACAGCCACAAGCTGCCCCAGCCATAATGTCTTCCCTCCATGATAGACTGAAATCTCAGACAGTGAGTCAAAATAAGTTCCTTCTATCTTAAGGTGCTTCTTGTTAGATACTTAGGTACAGTGACCAGGAAAGCAATTAATGTAAGATTTAAGAATAAACTATGGTTGGGCGTGGTGGCATACACCTTTAATCCCGGTACTTGGGAAGCAGAGGTTGGCAGATCTCTGTGAGTTCAAGGCCAGCCTGGTCTACAGAGTGAGTTCCAGGGATATACAAATCTTGTCTTAAAAAAAACCAAACAAACAAATAAACAGAAAAAATAAACTGTTTTCTACTTTTCAAAGAGATACTAGACTTAGAAAGGCATGGACAAGGGCTAACGCAATGCAGCCAATATGTAACTAAACCATAAATTAAACCTAGTTCTTCTGACTTTGAAGCCTAATTCATAACCTCTTTCTCAAAAGGTCTCAAAAATTCTATATGGAAACCACTGTGGGGGATGCTGCTACAAATAGGGTATCCCAGGGCTCACTGCTGGCAATTCTGATTCTGTAGGTAAGGAATTGATAGGACCAAGGAAACGGTTGTTAGTGAGGATCCCTCAGGTAGTTATGGAATAGGTCATCTGTATGTAGATCAGAAAGCTGAAATTTCTCATTGAGTCATATTGTCTTCCAGGAAAAGGACATGCAGACAGAGGAAACAGCATGTACAAAAGTTGAGAAATACGAAGGAGGAGCAGTTTATAATTTATGTTAGAGGCTAGGACTACTGAGATGAGTAACCAATGATACCTAAGGGTATCTGTGCCTTTAGGAAACTCAACTAATACTCTACAACCAAAAATGCTCTAGTCTGCCCCATCCCCTGCCACTGAATATATCTATATCTATATATCTATATCTATATCTATATCTATATTATGATATAATCTTTTAACAAATCAAAATCACCTATAGTGGCCATCACTCTCACATAGGATTTGATTGTAAACTACTATTCTATAGGTCATTTTAGACAAAGGTGTGCTCAGACTATT